ATGAACATTCGTTAAAGAAAGAGATATCTGTGGTTTTCTCTTTGATCAGACTGACAGTATGTGGCAGTAGTGGATACTACAATTTATTCGAGCGAGAAGAGACGATGGAATGCTTTGACTGTGAAGTGAAATGAAGATGAGTATGGAAATGAATGTCGTTGGTCTACTTTTTTGTTTGAAATACATCACAGTCTATCACAAAAAGCGAAGTTTCAGAGTATTGTTTGTCGTTTCGTTGATATGGCAGACTGTATCAATACACTCTAAAAAAAGTGGGTCTTAAAATAAGACCCCATACGTCGGTTGACGATTAGATCCATACATACGTCTTAGAATAAGACGGATGAAGATAAAACTGATTACCTATCTATGGGTCTGATCGTCAACCGACTTATGGGGTCTTATTTTAAGATCGATCGTCTTATTTTATCTATCAGTAGGCTCATAAGAACCGATGGATGCGGATAGACTGATGTCTCATTGGTCATGCCTATAGGAATAACAAAAGTTAGAGAGTTGATTTGGGGCCTATTTATCTTTCAGCTATGAAAGTCTTTCTGAAACGTAAGTTGAAGACTTTTACACATTATTGATATGAAGAGGCGCAGTCGATGGCTCTAGACTACTCATTAAAAACGAGCGCAGCACTGCTTTGGTGTGAATATATCAAAATGTCTGTGTAAATCAGTGAAATTTGTCGCTACGAATTATGTTTAGGTACGATGTTGTAACTCACTAGTTATGTTGAAGCTGGTATGTGTGTACTCATGTTTAAGGACAGTTCTCGTGAGCAACAAAACGTTTTCATTTCTTCGCAAAAGCATATAAGTGTTTGTGACGACTTATATTTTCTGCAGTTATAAGTCCTTGAGTTTATTGTATATGTGCGCTATGATACGAATCTTTTATATATTATTCGTTTATTCGACCTCTCTTTAATCAGAACTATACAAAATCACCCCTGAGAAAAGAAAAACGCCCAATACTGTATAGATATGTACTACTGCATCAAAAAGGATAAGAACAAAGCAAGAAAACAACAAAAACCGACAACGGACAGAACGAAACAAACAAGAGTAGCCCTACCGAAGGGTGTACATACTAAAAGGACACGTTGTGCCAAACGATGTGAATCGTCACAGTGTTGATTACAAAGAACACCGTAACTTTGACTGTCTATATTTATTCGACTACATCAATGGAAAGAGCATCCCGCAAAACCTATAGATACTATCTATATGTTCAACCGTTCTGAATGCACTTTTAGCACGTTATAGTACCTGACCACATCATAGGCCAAAATTGCAGACTGTGACGAGACCGAGCCGTACAACACAAAAACTGATGATGTTGTCAGCGATTGATCAAATTTTCTACATCGCTTTTCTCACCAAAACGCATTTCAATCTGTTTTATCCAAAAACGCCTAAACACGAACTTTCTTACGGGACTTTTCGACGCGTTTGTGAAACTGCACGTTTTCATAATTTAAAGGAATATACGTGCGGAACTAACTGAGAATTTTCTTTTATTATTTATTTTCAGTACAATATTGGTGAGTTTGATCAATATCTAGTCTAGCACCACCAGACTTATCTTGAGGACAACAGTCCAGCATGAAGTTTACTTCAATCATTGTACATGATATATGACAGAACGTCAAAGTTTACTTTTGCAGTATTTTTCTACATAAGTGAAATTTGTTAAATAGTCATATAGAATATGGCGTTTTTAGCGATCACATGGGATTATATGTAACTTTTTATGCCCTACAAGACAGGAGTGTTGACATTTCTGCGGCTATATAGTCTGTATAAACTTGGCGGACCTGAATGAACGTACCGTACTCCCATTGCCACGTCGCACAGTAGTCAATTTTGGCTACAGCAGGCGGAAATGTGCTATTAATTCAGTAATAACTTTTGATAGAAAAGAACTAGAGAGCAACGATTTTCGCCATTCGAAAGAGGAGACTTGGAGGCGTGTTTTCAGAAGACTTTTCTGAACAGGTTTACTAGGAGATCTTTGGAAAACTAGCCCGTCTGAAAAATTTTTCCAATAAGATTGTATTGCTTACTTTTCATTGACTGATAGCCTGGGGTGTTCTCTTCTAAATGGGAGTGAAGTTAGACCTTGATTTTCCGTGGTTCGGGCGTTGTATCGGATTTCCTACAAGTCCCAGGACTGACGAGGCCGAGCCGTACAACACAAATAATTATGATAAATATAGACACTCAAAATTGCGATGTTTTTATAATCAACACTGTGACGATTCTTTCTCATAACCTGTCCTCCTGGTACGTTTGCTTCGTTCCGTTCGTTGTCTGTTTTTGTTGTTTTCTTGGTTTGTTCTTATCCTTTATGATTCAGTAGTGAATATATGAGTGATTCTGATAAAAATAGGACCGTTTTTGTGAAAAAATTTGACTCAAACAAAAGGGAAATACCTAGGTTTTTTCTTATCATATATCGATAGTGTCTACCCAGGAGTATCACAAAACACGGGTTAGCAAGCTACCACTAGTTTGTTTTCCAGATTTGAAAAACATTTTTCTGTTATCAGCGTCAAAACACCGTGCACTTGGTTGCGTTTTGAATATCTTTTGACACAAAAGAGCTAGAAAGCTCCGATTTTCGCCATTCGAAAGAGAAAGCTTGGGGGCATGTTTCCATAACCAAATTTGTTTTCATAACAGTTTTCTGAAACAGATTTTCTAGGAGATCTTTGGAAAACTATGCCGTCTGTAAACATTTTCCAGTAGGATTGTATTGCTTTTTTCTCTTGGACTGATAGCCTGGGGTGTCCTCTTCAAAATGGGAGCAAAGTTAGACCTTGATTTTTCGCGGTTCGGGCGTTGTGTCAGATTTCCCACGAGTCCCAGCACTGACACTTGGTGACGATTGGTAGCCTTAAAGACGGATAAGCTATTGGTAATCGACCATGCTAAATTTCGTGGCAATATTTGTTTTTCGAAACAGTTTCAGACGCTTAGCGAAAACGTATATTAGGTGAAATATTCCAGTTTTGCCTATTTTTGAGTAAAATTCGAAAATTCACAACTCAGTCAATATCAATTCAAGTTATGTCAGAATGTCAAGATGTACTCTATTTTACCTGCCTAATACTATGCAGTTTAAAAGAAACTTTCAAAGTTGACAAAAAATACTTTTGTTTTTTGAAACTATTTAGAAAAACAAATATTCCCACGAAACTCAGCATAGTCGGTAACCTATATTATTATTCATTTCTGACAGTCTCAAAACTAACGGCAGAGGAGTCCTAAGGCTGCAAGGAAAACGCCCGTAGCTCCTGAACCATGGATTTCGGAGACATCGGCTTGGATCTGATTTTGTAGAGAACACCTTTGGCTATCCATATATGAAGAGACGGATATATTCCTATGTGAACGTTTGGAGCTATAAACCGGTTTTCGAGAGATCCACCTAAAAATCCTCCAGAGATCAATGCAAAAATGTTGGTTTCTGCATATTATTACGTGTCACGGTCTTGGCTACACGATGGCGAAAATTCGATCTCGATAGCTCATTCCGTTCTCGAGTTATTCAGTTCGCAATCATCCACACTATATTTTGAAATGGATAGTAGTACTTGAAGTTCTTAAGCTATGGCCTGATTTTTCGAAGATTTCTTAAAAAGCCGACTTTCGAAAAAGATTTTTGAAATCTTTTCTGTATAGAAAAGTGCACTCAAGTCTTCACTTTCCAATGTTGAAGACCCAAGCTATCTAGCTCTTTTCGTGATCTACTTATTTAAAAAATAATCGAGTGCACTGGGTTTTTCGATAACAGTAAAAGAGAGAGAGTGGGAAGTTATTATTAAAATAATAAACTGAGAATAGACTAGGTCTTTTGCCTTAAAAAATTTGTGTACAAAGACAACCGCTTGTAATGAATGTTTTAGTGTTTTTTCCTGTTCTTTTCAGTTGTTACCCGATGATGGGCAGCATACTGTTAGAGGTAATTTAATTACATGTTTGTATGATATTGTTTCAGCAAATGCTTGCATTGCTCGTGTAGTTCCTTCAGTTATGCACTTGTTTAAATAGTTTGTTGGTTGTCTTTTGCAATAATCAAAAATAGTTTCTTGTTGAAGTTGTTGGTGTACATACGTACCTGAGGTGTAAAATGGTACTCTTAGTGCATGTCTCAATCCTTTGTTTTGGATTATTTGTAACTTTTCCCAATAGTTTTGATCGACATTCCAAAATATTGGTGATGCCTATGATAATACTAAACGTACAATGTTTTTACATACTGTCAATAATGCTCTTTCTGAGTTATCAGCGGAGTTTTTTTGCTAAATATCTCAACACACCAAGTCTTGTTGAAGCTTTTCTTTTTATTTCGTCGATTTGTTTGTTAAATCTCATTTGTCGATCAAACACGATTTCTAAGTATTTCACTGTGTCATGCTGTTGTATTTGTTGACCATTGATTATTATAGATATTGGTACTTTCAATCGGCGTCGTGGATGTTTGGTGAAATGAATCATTTTTGTTTTATTTGCTTGTACTTCCAGCTTCCACAATCTACACCATTTCACGAACTCGTCTACCGATTCTTGTAAACGTATTGATAAACTTTTTGTTGTATTAACACTACTCCAAAGCGCAGTATCATCTGCAAACAAGTTACTGTTGCTACGACTTAGAATGGTGGATAATGAATCACTGTTGAACAATATGTACAATAACGGCGATAGAGGGGAACCTTAGGGCGTTCAGCATGTTGTTCAGCAAAGTCGTTTAACCCTTGTTTAACTACTCTCTCCATTAGCTTACCAAGGCAACTCAACAGGCTAATGAGACGATAAGTGGTGGGATCATTTGGATCTTTGTCTGGTTTTTGTATCAGTATAATATGAGCTAGTTTCCATTGTGGTGATATGACACATAGTTTGAGACTACTGTTGAATGACGCTAGTAAATGTTGTAACAAAGTTTTAGTGTACTTTTTTAAACATTTATTGTGAACACCATCATGACCAACTGCTGTGTTGCCTAAGTTCAATATTGACTTTTTTTAATTCGTTTTCGATTATTTTTGGATGTGTGAATGTTTTTATTTTAGTTAATCTATCAATTTCTTGTTTTATTTCTCTATCGATGTCAAAATGTTGTATGCAGTTATGGGGTTTGTTGTCATAAACTTCTTCGAAATATGTCTTAAACATGTCCACCTTTTCTTGATCGAATTTTGCTGTTTTGTTTCGATATTTTATTTCGTGCTTTAATTCTCGATTTGTGCGTTTTTCATGAAATCTGTTTACCACAGACCATAATTGATCACTTCTCATTTTTGGTGTTGATAAGTTTTTCATTAAATTTTTGAATTGTATTCGACTATCATTTGATAAGGAATTTTGAACAAGTACACGAATTTTGTAATATTCATCTTTTAATCGTGTGTTGATGGGATTTTTTTGTAACTGTCTGTAGAACTGATGTTTTTTCTTTATTAACTTTAGTGATTCTTTACTGGGTTTAACAGATGTGAAACGTTTATATAATTCCGCCTCTGGTACAGCTAATTGACAAGCACCAGCTATACAATCTGTGATGAACTGACTGTAACCCACAGGTGCTTGGCTGTTATCGACTTCTTCTACTTCTCGTGTGTTCAACCGTCTGTTTAATTCTCTATGGTACACAATCCAGTTTGCCTGAGAAAAAATGAACTGTTTTTGAGCACATTCTCTTGGTCTATCATCTACCTCACAATATAAATCAAATGTAATGGGTTTATGTCCAACTATTGTTGTACCAAGTATTGGATGTGTGCAAAAGTTCGATGCTAATGATGATGTTTCAATATCAGATAACATCCAATCAAGTTTTTCAGCATAGGAGTCTTGCATAAATGTTGCTTCATTTTATCCAATTATTTGTGTTGAATGATCTATCAGCCAGTTGTATAGCATATTACCGTTTCTGTTTGTTTTTGCACATCCAAAATACTCATGAGATGCATTTAAATCGCTAATTATTAAATACTGATCATTCAGATTTTTTATTTTATTCAACACTTTAATTGATAATTTTATTTTTGGTGGTACATATATAGATGCCACAATTAGTGTTTTGTTTTGTTTTAATTCTAGTTCAATAACTACGAGTTCGTTGTTTTCAATTATACCATTATAAATTAAATTTACTTGATATTTGTTTCTAATGGCCAGTAGTACTCCTCCACCTTTCTCATCACGATCTTGTCTGAAGATGTTGTAGCCAGTAAGTGAAAATGATGTCATTTTGTCATTTAGTTTTGTTTCATTTACAGAATAAACATCGACATCATTGTATGTTGTTGTTAATTCATCTTTGTATTTGTTTATTAAATTGACATTTATATGATTGAATCGCATAAATTAATTTAAATAAATATGTTTTACTTTGTTTCTCTTGCTTCAAACTAATTAACTAAATAATGATGTTGATGTATTATTTGTATTTTTATTTATTATGTATCCATAGTTGTTGATTGACGATCCGATAATGAATCAGCTACATTAGAATTACCTCTTCCCATTTCCGACTGATCTATCAACGTCTGTGATGTTTTGTGTGGTTGTTGTTGATTTTTCTTTGAATTTGATCTTGCTCTCGATCTTATTATTGTATCATCTCTTGATGGGCAATTTTCCGATGGTGATTTTAGAGATTTGATGAGCATCATGGGTGGTGTTAAACTGAATATCATATTTTTGTTTGTGGATACTAATGCGGCTGTTAAAGTAGATGGATCAGGCTGAATTTGTGTTGTTATTGCTTGTGTTTGCCCTTGTATTGGTGGTGGCATCGCCTCACCTCTGCGGCTGCTTACCAGGTTCACTGGCAATGTAGATGGTAATAATGGTGGTATTTACTGTTGATGCATTATCATCGAAACAATTGATGTAGCCATCTGTTGCATAGCAGATGACAGTGCATGAACAATTGTAGACGTCATTTTTTCTATTAATTCTTCAATCATTTCATTATTATTACCATTATGATGATTTTCACATTGGCATTTGGTAGCTGTCCAATGATTGGATTGTAAATAAGGAAAGTCATCGCCATTCATATTAGCTTTTTGTTTTATTGGTGTTGTATATTCTTCAATTGTTTTTTTAATTTTCTCTTTACTTCTTAAATATTCTTTACACTGTTTTGATGTTGCATATGTTGTTCGCCACAATTTATGCATTTAACATCTGTACTTGTACAAATGTTTGCTGCATGTGGACTACTACATTTATTACATATTTCAACATTTTTGCAATATTTTGCTGGATGTCCAAATTTACAACATTTGTAGCACTGTACGGGTTGTGTATTTGGTTTAGCCGGTTCAGCATCATAATGCAAATAATCAATTTTTAATCCGGTTTTTAAAAATGTTTCACAGTTTAATTTATCAACAAAAATAACTTTTATTGTTTTTGTTGGTTTATTATCTTTTCTAACATAAATGCGTTCAGCATTGTCAAATTTAAAACCATTTATTGTTAATGCATGCTTGATTTTGTCAACTGAAAAATCTTGGTCAACATGTTTTATAAAGGCAACTTTTTCTGTATCCAACACTGATTTGATGTTACTTGGGGCATAGACTTGAATACCATGTTTTTCACTTGGAACTAAATTCGTCGGAAAAGCTATTAATAGTTGATTATATGTTTTTGTATCTGATGGTTGGATAATAAATAAATTATGTTTATTTTTGAATATGTTCTCGATTTTTGTGTAAGCCGTTTTATTTTTCAGAATTTTATTTAATAGTATTTTATTTACATTTGGAATGCCTTTAACGATAACTGGTGCTATTTTGAATTCTTTTTTTGGGGTTGTTGCTTGTTGTGTCTGCTGCCTCTGGCCTTCTGAAAATTGGGAGCGCCCCCTTTTCCTGTTTGGAGTTTCCTCCTCCATTTCAATGTTATCCAACCTATTTTATTTTATTTTTATCTTTTTTATCTTAACTAACGAACTAAACCGCAACTAAACAAGGTGAAAGTGAGTAAAAGAGAAGAAACAGGTTTGCAGAGAATCCTGTTCTCTAGGAAACCATCTTTTGGTCGGTCTAAATGCTATTTATGTACTTCGTTAAATTCAACATGTTTCGAAACCTCTACACTACAAATCTGGCTTTATTCGCGCGTAGAATGTTAAAGTTACAGAACGGCTTGTCCAATGTTACGGAATTACTTTTTTTCAACTTTCACGTGCCATAACTTTTCTGAGAATGATCCAAATGTAATGACGCTTTTACCAGAGGTGGACAGTACCGAGTTTTATCACGTCCGAAAATTTCGTTGAGTTTGGATCATCTCATAGGGAGTTATTAAAAAAATAACGGCCGTTACGGAATTACCGAAAATGGACTTTTTTTCAGTGATGTCTAAGTTTTACATTTTTCTGCTCAATGAAAGCTTTTTTTGAGATGTGTTCTGAAGCAAAGTTGTGTAGCTTGAAACCAGCTTTCAGAATATCCACTTGGTTTTCCATTAGAATCGCTAGATGATATAAAAATTTGAAAAAACAGTCCGTTACGGAATTACCTTCGTTACGGAATTACAGCTTTTTTTGGTTCTTTCAAATCAGAAGGTTAAACTCCATTACAAAAGTCGTCATAGAAAAATATTTCCGATAGCACTAGACACTGTCTACTAGACAGTATCTGATCTGATCTTTCCGATGCACTGTAGAAAAACGTTCTGAAATGGTTCTGACTTGGAGAAAAGCCCGTTTCAAAACTTGGTCTTTCGAGAAACCAACTTTCTTGGAAAGCACCTAAACTCAAAAATAAATACACTTTCTTGTAGAGAATTTAATTCTCTACAAAATACCATATCTCTTAATTTTTTTCGCGAAAATATCTAGGTCAGGAATAGGGGTGCTACTTTACTTTTACCAATTATTACATTATTCGGTAAAAATAATAAGCGTTTGTTACTTATTACCGGTAAAAAGGTAATAAATCTTGTTGTTTTGTTTATTACTTTTTTCAAGTAATAATTTTTTATTATTTTACTTATTACTTTTTATTACTGTTCTTCTTATTAATAATAAGTAAATTAATAAAAAATTATTATTTGAAAAAGTAATAAGTAATAAGGTAATAAGATTTATTACGTGTTTCCTGATAATAACTAATACGTTTTATTACTTATTACTTGGTTAAAAACAGTAAAGTGACACCCCTAAGGCCGAGAAGAAACAGAAAAAAAACGGTTACGGGACATTTCTTTGTATTTTCTACCATTCTCCCTTATAAAGCAGTCTTAGTCTTTGATATTTATACAGGATTATCATGTGAGTAGTCAACACGTATAGTAAAAAAGAAACTTTCTATCAAGCCCGGTCGAGGCGTGGCATAGTAGGTGCTTACAGGACAAATTGTCAGTCAAACCTCACATAACTTCAGTAAAGTGAGAATTACTTGGTAGTGAAAAGTGATAGAAACGTCGGATTTTCGCTGTTGTCTGTTCTATACATTTAGCCAACTTCTGACATATAAAGAAGACAAATTGAATAACTTATTAGAGCTATCAAAGACCATGTGGTTACGGGACAGAAAAAAGAATTGTTTTGGGATCACAAATTCTGAACAAATTTGTGAAAACAATCGGTGTGACACAACAATCGGTAACAACGGTATTGATGTAACTGAGCAGAGCGAACAAAATACTATAAGAAGGAGAGAAAAAAAATATTGTTCCACATAAAATAACAAAGAAAATAACATTTACAAAACCAAACGTATTTGAATCACCAGAAAAACAACATCAAAATAACGGTCAAACATGGATGTTTTGTTTATAATTCGTTCATGATTAAACATAGAAAAGTCGTATGGCGATAAGTATGGCGAAAAGTCGTATGGGAATAGAAAAGTCGTGAAGCGATTATAAGCGTAACGTTGTTGAATATATGCGAGAAGTCCGAAAGTGATTCATCAAGATTAAGAAAAGAAACGCTTGGGATCATTTACTTCATTCGAACAGTACTACTTTTATCAGAATCACTCATATATACAGTATTAGGAGTTAGTTGTTTATAGTTCTGATTAAAGAGAGGTCGAATAAACGAATAATATATAAAAGATTCGTATCATAGCGCACATATACAATAAACTCAAGGACTTATAACTGCAGAAAATATAAGTCGTCACAAGCACTTATATGCTTTTGCGAAGAAATGAAAACGTTTTATTGCTCACGAGAACTGTCCTTAAACATGAGTACACACATACCAGCTTCAACATAACTAGTGAGTTACAACATCGTGCCTAAACATAATTCGTAGTCACACTGGTTTATACAGGCTGACACGGCCGTTCGCTAAGCAACCGGTGTTGGATTTTGTTAATACTCATGTCCTTTGGTGCTGCCAATGATTGTGCTTTGGTTAGTAATTTTGCCGTAGACGTTTTTGATTTAGTTGCTGTGTTCTTGATTGTTTGGGTTAGTGCAGTGCATAAGCTGCTTGATCGGATTTTAACCATAGCTGGATATTGTTCCAGTGATAAATGGACAAGTATTAATAAGATGCTCGATTGATAATAGTACGGTCAGAATAATATTGTTTGGATAACTGCCAACTTATAGAGAAGAGAAATTATAAATTACGTTATGATAGTATAATTTTCTTGTCTAAAACTGCTTTAAGAATGAAGAGAAAGAAGAAAAACGAAAGTATGATCTACGATTACTGAGCGACAAAAATTTACATATCAGCGCGAGAAATTTAAGGAGAAAAGTAACGAAACCATAATGCACGAATCGAAATGTGAGACTAATTATTATCTTAATTATTATCTTCATGAATCCAAGCTCTACAAAACCTATGAAATAGGTTAATAAATATCTTTACAATGGCATTTCACATCATAAGTTCATTTTACATGTTCAACTGAACTATGGTGTTCAATCGATCAAATGAATGTAATCCAAACAGCACATAATCAGACATACACTCGTGATGCATGTTTAACATCGTTGAATGAACGTCCATGACTCTCGAGAGTTTATTTGAGGGTGTGTATTTACATTGTCAAAATCGACATCAGGGTTATTTCACTGAGAACATCTCGGTAGTTTAGAATCTTTATCATTACTAACCAATGGACACTTGTACTCAGTCGTTCTAACCTCTCAAATACGCGCGGTTAGGTCACAGTCTCGATAAAGAATATGATAAACAAGTTTTTGGATGTAGTGAATGGATACCTTTTTGAATGTGTAAAACATTCAAGTTTACTTATTAGTTATTAATATTGAGTATTCTTTAAATACAAACTGTAGTTTAATGACGTCGATGAGCTTTTTACATGTCTTTCTAATTTGATTTAAGATTTGTTTCAAGGCCGAAATAGGAGATGATGAGGTCACCATGATTGTCACCTACGAATGACGCATAGATTAAAAAAGCAAATGCCTTGGAAAAAGATAGTGTGCTCACCACTGTCTGAATTATTTTTAAAGTGATTCGCTGTTCATACGAATTTTTCTTCTACTTTGAGCGTAGTAATATGCGCCATGAGGATTAGCGGTTAAGCCAGAAACCTTTCGCCCAATATGTTTGACTTATTTCTATTAGAAGCGTATCCAGAGATTTCTAGAAACATTTTCTACCACTAAGTTTCTCGAAATTTTAATACAAGGTTTCTGACGCCCTTGGCGGATGCCAAGATTGCTAAAAACTTTTAATCCGAGTTCTTTTGCAACCACATGGACTAAATGCAAAATTTTGTGCTGATCACCAATGTTACCTTAGAATTGAGAATGTTTCGATCTTCATCGAGAAAAAACAATTTTTACTGAATTCCGGTACTATCTCATCATCTATCAGTTTTATCTTGTCTTCAATCAAAAAACATACTCTTAAAACTCTAGAAATCTTTAATACATGTAAAATTGTGGGCTCTGTCACATTATGCTAAAGTCAAGTGTTCAACGTTTGAATAAGTGATTAGATTACCGAGATATGGGTCGACAATACGGGAAAAATCATTATTAATTTTTTCCCGTTACATCATCCGAAGCGGCAGCTGGAATTCTCCAGAAGCCCAAATCATTAGATTTCAATGCCACAAAGTTGAGCCTCTGTTTTCTTGTGTATCGCAATAACAGTATAGTTTATTTTAAAAAGTGCCTCTTTTCCCACAAATCGATAAGTCAGAACAGTCTGTTCTTATTAGCTGTTTGGTCGAGCATAGGATGAATTACTTGAAAATGCAAGTTGTTTTTCTAAATTCTTGAGTACCATCACTTTTTTTCCTTTAAAAGGGTGAAAACTATCCGGGATATTACCATCTTTTTCAAAACATTTCTCTACAGAGAAGACCAAAGACATCCATCATTTTTAGGTGTCCATCCATCATTGTTACGGATGTGGAAAAAGTTGGATATACTATAAGTTTAAAATATTTTTGTCTAAATTTCAGAGAAGCCGAAACAAAACAGAACTGGATGTGTATTAAGTTTCTAAACTTTTCAAAATATATTTATAAAACTAGATACGAACAGATTAAAAATGATATTCTGATATACTAACACGTATAATAAATGTCGTATGAAGTTGAATTTTTTGATGTTTACGTATAAAACGTCTATTTGATCGACGACGCTGTTGTCTATTTTTTGTGAGCGATGCTGTTATTTCAAATTCATAATCGATTTTATCGATTAACATTTGTGTTGTAGTTAATGATGTCGATTTATCGGACTTTTTTGTTTTTAATGTAAAAGGTAAGTGTTCTAGACGTTTAACAATTTTGTATTCAATATTGTTCATCGCATTGTTCAATTCAATTTGTAGAATATTTTCTCCAGCGGGTAAATTACGTGGCAATGCAATAAATTTGTATTGAATATTTGATGAATATAATTCACATGCATTTGAACATTTCAAAATACACAGTCTAAAAAACAAGAGTACATATTCAAAATTTTATAGTTACACACAAGAAATAATCCTAGACCCTGTTATATTTGTTCGCTCATAATGCGATGGACACGGTATATCGACACATTCATATTCACCATATTTATTAAAACACATTCTATCTTGACCACATTCAATATTAAAATCGACACATTCATTGACGTCTAGTAAACACAACAATTCAAAATAATAAAGAATTAAAGAGGATTGTATCGTATCTACCGTGACATTTTCCAGTTTTAGTATTTTGTTTATAGCCCAGTGGACAATAGCAACGGTATGAACCTGGTAGATTTTCACACACGGACTGTTGACATTGATTCATATTTATCACACACTCGTCAACATCTATAAAAACACGATATACTTTTTATCGATTGAAATTTAAGAGCAATGAATTGAAAGTCAATAACAAACCTGTACATGTTCCATTATTATTATGATAAATGAAACCTGATGGACAAAAATGTGCAGTTGGTAATGCTAAAAAATAAAAACAAAAGAACATGTTATTTTGATAGATTATTAAGATAAACACTTACGCGCACAAGTTCCATCTGACAATCGCATTAGACCTGGTTGACAATTTTCTAGACATTGAAATGATCCATAAAGATTGTGACATTGTTGATTTGATCGACAGTTATGTAAACCAGTATCACATTCATTCAAGTCTACAATGATCAGAGACAACAATCATTCTAATATTTAGTTTTCATATTTTATTAACAAACCTTCACATCTCAATCCACCGACTAACTGAAAACCACGATGACATGAACATCTAAAAATAATACTATTTTAAAGCAAGAATCAGATTCTCTTGTTCTCGTTTACTAACCTGTAATATCCATACAAATTTTCACATACTTGATCGCATACATTTGGTAGTTCTACACACTCATTGATATCTAAATAAAATTTGAATATCTTCATTTGACGAGAATCTTAGATACTTCTTAGAATTAGCCTGCTATGATCGCGTAAGGGAGCATTTCAAAATTCTCGCCGTTCTCTCTGCCGCGGCACAACGAATTTATTTTAATGATATTTCGATATATTATCGGTTTCTTTTGATGTATGTATGTATACGTATACATGAAATTTATTTTGGTACATAGATTCATTGAAATTCTCTTTACGATTTACGATAAATGCATAAAGAGGAAAAAATATAATAATGTTCTTCTTATTTGTATATATAGAGTATTGTTTTTACTCACATATACGTCAAGGTCGCTTACTCAAAATTTGGAGGGAAATTACATTTCGAAAGTCAGTGGACAGCTTGCTTTTTTAAACAATAATCAGCGATATTCACAGCCATATATCTCAAAAACTAAAAGGGGTCCTTTTATTCTTTAATCGGATAAATAGAAAAATTTCTCTTATAGGAAATTCTAATTAGTGTCAGAGTAAGATAAACTGTAAAAGAAAAGTATATGTGTGCCGTGACAACGGATTTATTTCAATGACATTTCGATATACTATTGATTTCTTTTAATGTATCTATACGTATACACGAATTTTTTTTGCTATTTCTTTTTAATATTCTTAAACTGTAGACTATTTATTTTCTCTGAAAAGAATGAATTTTATACTTTAGAATAAAAGTTTCTTTACGTAGGTAAATTTATTCAAATTCTCTCAACTTGACTAATCAAAATAATGACAATGATTAAATATTAATGTGACAAATGTCCTAATTAATATTCAGTTGAAAGACAACGTCTTCTTCGTTTTAACATTTTATTGGCTTGAGTTGAAGATCTTTTGAGTTTCTGTTTTGGTGTATGTATCCACTGATTTTGTCCTTATTCGACTGCATTTTTTATTTAGTAATTCTTTATATTGATTAGGGAGCATTATAATTTATTTTATTTTGTATAATTTCGGTTCCTTTGATTGTATTGTGAATACATACATCGGCATATATATACTCCAATGTGTTCGTCTTTTTAACAGACATTTTTCTGTTTAAAGAATAAAATCAAAAAGGGACAAACTTTATATTTTCATCAAATGTTCATCTTTTATATATTCAAGAAGGAGAGTACCCACTGTAAACTTATTTCGTATTGCACCAACTTCGCGAACTAAAATTACATTAATTATAGAAGACCCATTCCCATCTTTTATACTAGTTTAAAGTACACAAGTTGTACACGAAACTGATCTATATTTTAGAAAAGGACCCCTTTTAGTCTTTCAGAAATATAGCTGTGAATATCGTTTAAAAAAGCAAGTTTTTCTTTCCTCGACTTGATGAGACTTCTTTTGCTTGTCTCGAAAACTTGCTTTGTTAAACGATAATCAACGATATTCACAGTCATATTAAACATATTAAACAGTTTTCTATATACCGTAAAGATAAACGAATATAGAAGAAATACTGCGAAGCTTCAATCTCGATTACTTTGCAACACAAGAAACAATGAAAAAAAAAAAATTTTAAGGACGGTGTCATGCATAAAGGTGAAATCAGAACGTCAGTTCTGATGCTCTGAAGTGTCGTCTTTTTTTCGTCTATCATAGGTTCGGTTTAAACGTATTTTTCTGGCACAAAAGACACTTGAACGAAAATTTAATAAAAAGAACGGAAATTTTGTCTTTTTCGCCATGACACAGGAAGCGAAAAGAAAATCGTAAATCCTAAAGAGAATTTCAATAAATCTATGAATCAAAATAAATTTCATGTATACGTGTACATACATCAAAAGAAACCGATAATATATCGAAATGTCATTAAAATAAATCCGTTGTGCCGCGGCAGAGCGGGAGAAGGGCAGAGCGGCAGAGAGAACGGCAAGAATTTTGAAATGCTCCCTAAGATCTTACATATTAAGATTTTGGTAAGATAATATAGAACCTTAACTCAGAATTGATTAAGATATGATGCTTTTACTTTTAATCATTCTTCTGTTTTGCTCTAATGTCTCCCTATAAATCACATCGAAACTATAACTGAATTTTACAGTGTCATTTCTTCAAGGTTTTGCTAGTACTTGCTCTCTCGAAAGTGTTCAGCAACTTTCAGAGAGTATACACTGCAAGTCAAAGTCCTTGAATGAATGTCAAAAAAGCTAAAATTTTTCTTCGTTCTTCAGGTTTGTTTGACTGCAGTTTTGAACTATACAGAACAGCAGACTCAAATCACATCTCTGTAAAAAGAGACCTATCAGTACGTTCTTAGTAAATCACAAATGAATCTTATTAAAAACATATTAAGGTTTAGTAAGATTCTAACAGGTTCTTACCCAGTCTTAAAAAATCTTAGACAAAGTAAACCTGTGTTATGGTAAGATCCTAGAAAACTCTTATAAAACCCTAGAATTTCGGATCTAACGATTTTAGTAAGATCTGTCTAAGGAGGAAACCTATCGAAGTGAGACCTTCCGATTTTGTTCGTTCTTACGTCGATCGATAGAGGGTATCGAGCTGGGAAAAAGCCTAAAAGGATTTTTTCCCATAACCCTTGAAGTCCCGGTTTTCTGGAAAACCAGTTTTTCAAGAATTCTAAAAGATAACCAAAACTTTTCTTAATGAAGCGTACTTGTAGCCCGCAAGTTTCTGGACAGAATGAGACATCTCCCAGCTCTACATGACCTTTCTCTACAAAGTTATAGAATTTACAAGAAAAGCCCGAAATGTTCATTGTCAGCTCAAAGCTACAGAAATACGGAAAAAACTAATTTAGGCCTTCTCTTGTGAATTCTAAAACTTTGCAAAGAAAGGTCGTGTAGAGCTGAGAGATGTATCATTCTATTCAGAAATTTGCGGGCTACAAGTATGCCTTATTAAGAGAGATTTTGGTTATATTTTAGAATTACTGAAAAACTGATTTTCCAGAAAACCGGTTCTTCAAGAGTCATGGGGGGAAATCCTTGAAGGCTTTTTACCAGCTCGATACCCTCTAACGATCGACGTAAGAACGAACGAAATCGGAAGGTATCATCTAGATAGGTTTTCTCGTAAGATCTTAGAGAAATATAAGTGAACTCTTAAGCAGATCTTCAAATAAATTTTCTACCAGAAGACGTATGAGTCATTCATTGTTACCTACCCACGCAATAATGTTCATCATTTACTCTTCTTAATCCTCGTTCACATTTGTCATAACATTTAAAAGATCCAAATGTATTAAAACAATCTTTTTTCTCTTGATCACAATACTTTTCTCTCACTGCACATTCATTAATATCATAACACGTTTTTAAATCATAACCTAATTCAAAACCATCGGGACATAAACAGTAATAACCACCCATTGTATTTATACAACGATGTGAACATGGTGAATTTAATGAACATTCATCAATATCTAAAAACAAACTGCAGCCTTTATTTAAACTTGTTCTAACGGTATGTTCGACCATAAAAAAATACTTTGTTGAGCACGCAATTAAGACTCTTTTGAGTATGGTTCGTGAGTAGAAGAATCTTTTTACTTTCCTAAGCACGGGGATCTTTTTTACAGTACAGCCACTAGCTATTTTGAGCACTGATTTATTTTTCAAAATGAGAGAAATTTATGAAGTTCAACGAGATAACGCAGTTGCTTCCTGAAAAGTAACTCTCTATTCAGTGTAGTAGAATGTTTTCTATCAGTCTGTATCATTATCATATTTATTGATGATGGTCAACGAAAGTTACACAAGGACAATACGGCCGGCCATGACATCATCATGCATTCTCTACTTTTTCGACATTGAAATATCACTCTGAATAATTCATACTCAATACAGTCTTAATTGCATGGTAAAAAAAATTCTCGTCCTTCGATCATACCTTTACAATATTGTTGATAATCTCGTTGAAATCCTGTTGGACATTTTTCTCGTTGATCATTTTTAACAACAGTAGCTTTTTCAATTGTCCATGTCAGTTTTTGTTCATGTGGAATGTAGAGAGATTCTAAATTAAACAAATAACAACATAGAAACATTCCACATTTTGATTGTTGATTCATGCTTTGATTAACACACAGACCTAGACCATCCAAGTAAAGATGTTGTACTAATGGTACTTGCTGGGCAAAATGACATTGAGTCGAATGATTCCAGTTATATTTACTTAATTTGTTTTGATCATGATAAATACGACTTGAATATGAATAGAGAGTATCTAGGTTAAAAGAAAAGAGGAAATGTTTTTTAAGCTCAAAATTGCTTTTATCTTGAACTATGAATGAATTATTTCGGTGATTATACTGAAATTTTTGCCGAGAAATTGAGATTTATCTGTCAGACTTGCAATTAGTCAGTTACAATGAATTTTTATTTTTTTCACTTTTATTTTTGTATTCAAGAAGATCATCAACAAAATATAGCAGCTACTAATGAACAATGACAATAACAACAACAACAACAACAACAAACAATCATCGGACGGATTATATGCGGCCTTTTAATAATCGTTTTTTTGAACATGACATACCAAAACGAATTTTAATTTTATAACGACGTGGTGAATGTCGACGTCGATGACGATAATTTGATGGTTTTTTATGAATTAAATCTGATGGTGGACAATCTTCATCACATGATAAATGTTCATTTGATTCATTTAATTCATCATTATTTTGTTTACACCAATTTAATTGACACCAACACGGTAAATAATTTATAATAGAAAATGTTACTTTTATTAATAATAATCCATCACCGAGACGTGCTAATAGAAATAAACAACGACAAATTGATGTATAAATATGATCATCAGATATTGATACCGATGAAGCAGTGGATGGTTCAGTTACTGGATCAAGATGACTCCCGGTAAAAATTAATCGTTTTAACTGTAAAATATATGGCCACATATCGAGAATATTCATTGGTAAACATAATAGTGCATATTTTAATGTAAATATTGTTAAATAATAATAGCATAGTCTACATGATAATTGATCTTTATTAATTGTTAATAATGGTGCTAATGATGATGAATGACTGGTCGTTGTTGTTGTTGTCAATGGTATTTGTGTTGTTGATGATAAATAATTTTGTGTGGATTTTTGAATATCAATTGTAGTTGTATGACTTGTATCACATAATATTTCACAATCAGTATGTGAACGATTTTTAATAATAGGTTTATCAGTTTGAAATGGATAAGATGTACGTGGTTTTAATTTAACATAGGATGTTGGAATTGATGATATATTTGTTTTTGGTGTTACTGTCATTGGTAAATATTCATAACTTGAAGATTGTCTTGGTGGTGTTAATTGTTGTAATGATTGTCGTGTACTATTAGGTGATCTATTATTATTTGTATCAGAAGCTAAAAATTTTGATTGTAATGTTGAATATGGATCAATATCAACTAAAACTGTTGGATATTCTTGTAAAATATGATTAAAACATTTAATACATGTTTTTGATTGTAAATATGTTCGAATATCAAGATATTGACATTGTTGACGTTTTTTACATTTAATATAAAATGCTAAACATACATCGATAATACACGTTAAAATAACAAGTATATTTAATAATGGTAAAATAAGAACATTAATTAATAACAATGGAAATAATGCAGTGGTTAAAGAATGTTTAGGCATATAAAATATAAAATTATATCCAAATATTAATGCTAATGATACCGAGACAATTAATATTATATTTTTATGAGTATTTAATATAATTTGTTTTGGTCTATAGGGTAAATGTTGTGCTGTTTGTATTTGACTTAAATATAGTCTACAATGTGTGAAAAAAAAGTGTACGATACATATAGATAATATAAAATTTTGAAATGTAAAAAAATTTTGAAATATTTGTGTTAATAATGTAATAGATATTGATAAATATGTTATAGATCCAGAATGTAATAATTTATTATTATTATATCGTTTAATTATTAAACTAGTTAAATAGACAATGGCTAGAAATATATTTGAAAATGAAAATGCTCGAATCCAATTTCGATTTACACATGAACGTAAGAGAAAAATAGGAAAAGATGTTGTCGATTTTAGTTTTGACTTATTTTCTTGCAATTGATGTTGCCGTTGTTCTTGGTTTTGTTGTTGTGTTGATGAAGAAGAAAATGTAATTATAAACAATAGTGTATGTTCAAAAATAATAAATGCTAATAAAAATATTTCAAATAAATTTAGTATTAGATGAAGTTCATCATCATCACCATAATGATGCTGATGTTTAGTAGAATAAAATGTTGATGTTATATTCATTTTTGAACAATAATCTAAAATATGTTATTGAAAGAAAAAAAGAAAATATTTCCCTGAATACACATCTAATCAGGCAAAAATTGTTGAAGCAAGAGTGTGTCAGTTTTTTTTTTTTACTATTCATAAAAGAAAAAAGAAAGTTAGTCAAGATAAACACATATATATTCTTTTTATATAAATATTCAAGAAATGTGATTCTCTCTAATATTAATAGATCTCATGATGTCATAGCTGATTGACGTATCATGGATTAAAAGAGAGATGACACGCAAAAATGGTCTTATTATCAAAATAGAAAAGTTAACTCGTTTGATAAATAAATTGGCGATATAAACTATTTAATGGTAGGCTAATGAAAACGTTTTCTAAACAAATGTTAATCAAAGCTAAAAATAGATCATAGAACAATAATGTTTTTTTAAATTTTTTTTGTCTAAAAAAGAGTGCCTTTTTACACACGAAAATATACAAATTTTCTTTTTGAAAGATAAATTGTTATTCTTTTTGACCATATGACGTAAAAAAATAACATTCGAATAATTAAAAACTATAAAAAAGAAATTGATCAAAACCATTATTGTGTTGTCATTGTTTTCTTGAACCTTTTGCGAAAACTTTACACATATCTTTAGTCAATAAGTTTTGACCTTAAAATCAAATTTCTTTGAACTTAACTGTGGAGTATAAATTGACAAGATACATCATTGATAAGATCTTAGCTATGAAATATTGTACATTGAAGAAGTTAGTAGAAAAATATTTTTTTAAATAATTAAATAATTTACCAGACTGTTGGTAACAGTGCGTAGAATGAACTCGCAAGATGAATTCACTGCCTACGTACTCAGTGAGCGTTGCTAAAGCGAAAGAACCACTATTTATAATTATCATAACGAATCATGCTAAAAAAACATGTTCCCAATAAAAGCTTTGCAGTCTACAAATGCCAGACCATTTTCATATCCAAAAGTCACTCTTTTTTCGATAAAAAAAAACACCATATATTGTCTTTTTACTTCAGTTAAGAGTTTCGAGTTGACATTTGTCTAGAAAGCTTTCACTATCCATTATTTCATTCTTAGTTTGTTGTTTTACAATCAACGATTTGTAACACAATATCATACATAGACGACAAATACAAAACGCTTACAAAAGCGGCAAGAATGACAGATTAATGTACTACATGTTACCTTGATTTAATATAGAAACAATCGAACACATAGACAAACCTATGCTATTCTAACAACAATGATCGACAAAATCAGCCAATATACAAAGATCAAGTTCATAGATAAAAGAATATTGATATACATTTCAACAACAAAGAAGACAACAAAGCAATATAGAACAAATATTAAACACCTATCTTTTCGAAGATGGTGAAAATGAAAAATATAAGAATTAAAAACTAATAAAATAAAATGAGAAATACTTTAACTTACCAGGACCAGTATTAAGAATAGTTTCTATATAGGGTGTAAATTGAATAAAATTTGTATTTGTTCCATGAGGTGATTTTCCATTAATAAAAATATCATAATCGAGATTATTATAATTATCAATGCCTTTTGATATTTCAGATATCGTTAATAAATCACCTAAAAATATTTCATAGGTAAATTTAAATATTTATTTATAACTAGACTATATCTACCATTTTCAAAATAAACATTTGTATCACGTCGAAAATATCCATTACATAATGAAAGAAAATTTTTTCCATTATCAACTTCTCTTGCTAAATTCCAGTATAATGGTGAAAGTATTGAAATTAAATTTTGTAAAATTTCTCGAAAATTTGATTCTATTCCAACAAGAGTTGTCAGAATAATTGACTCTAAATGATAAGTGTCATTCATTCTAATAAATAGAACTTAATTAGAATAAAAGTTAAATTCTACCATGTTGTGATAGTGTCGTATGAAGATATAATTCATTTGGACTATATCCAAATTCAATATTGTTAATTTCACCAAATAGACGTCCTTTTGCACGTATTAACTGTAAAGGACAAGGTCGATTGTTACACGGTTCATAGTCAAATGAATGTCCTACATAGATAAAAATGACGAATTAAAATAAAAGTTATTCATTAAATAAAAAAAAATTTTATATACACAATGTTTTTTTTTACCGGCACAATTAGTTCCCAGACATGTTCTTCGACGAAAACGTTGACCTGCATCATTACATGTGAGTGTACATTCACTCCATTGTGACCATGTTGACCATTGAGAATGAACTTAAAATTCAAAAATAACAATACAAAATCTCATTATAGTAAAAATGTGCTGGATGTGGAAGTATTTAGTTTACTTTAGTTTTTTCACATTATATTGATGAACTGCATAAAAATAATATTTTCATGACACATAGGAGAACGAAAGACTTCCTATCTATAGAATATGTAAAATCAAAAAAAGAAAGATAAGAAATTAGCCATTCCTACTTCTTGTCGTTTACATAAAAAGTGTATGAGAAAAAGAAATAAAACACATAGTCAAATATAATGAGAGAGAGAGACTGAGATGATAATTTTGTATTACTCTTGCAGTCTCGAGGTTTTTTTTTCTTTTACGAGAAAAGGAAAAAATAGTTTTGTGTCATTATTTCACGATCAATTTTTTTCTTTCTTTTTTAAATAATGACAAAGATGTCCAGTAGTAGTAGTTGTAGTAGTAGCAGTAGCAGCAACAACATCAGAAGTATATTATTTTTTTTTTCTTATATTTTCAATTAGGTACTGTTGATCATTTATATAACATAAGACTACTAACAAAGAAAAATATACAATATGGGTAGTATTAACTTCTCATGATTTGAACAAAGCAACAACTTTTACTTTAAGTATTTGTTTTTGTATAGAAAAAGCACGAACTATAATTTTTGAGACCAAAGTGCGTTTATATGATGATTAAAAGCTTAACCATAACCAGAAATAAAGATAAGAGCGAAGAGAACGAGAAAGAAGAAGAAAACAGTTAGTATATTTCATTATTCTTATTGCTATGATGAATAACCCCTTTCATCGAACCTCGCATTTTGGTTAATAGAAAAGAAAGAATCGAAAAATAAAACATCAGCTGTCAGAGTGGAAGTCAGGTGTAAATGTGCAGATTATATAGTAAGCATGCCGATTCTAAATGGAATAAAACCATTGTAGTTTATTCATCCGAAGTTTTAATAAATACTATGAAAAGAATCTATGAAATGAAAAGAAATATTTTCTTTTATCATTATTATTATTATTATTATTTTAGATATTTAAATCCTTTCTCAAATACTATGTCTAATGCTAGTGTTATTATTTCCGGTGATTTAGAATATAAATGTCGAATAATAAATCCTGTTGAATATACGAATGAATTTGAAATGTTTGTTAGAGATACATTTTTTAAATATGAACCAATGAATACACATCTCGGTTCATATCCCGATTATATTCATTTAGATTGGTTTCGACAACAACTTAAAAGAGCAAAATCTGATAATGTTAGTTTGGGTATTTATATAAATGAGACACTTATCGCTTATGCAATTAATCATGTTGAACATATTGATCAAAATGAACCAAATGATGATAATACTAATTCAACATTGATTCTAAATGAGACTATGCGAAAATATCATGAAATTTATTTGTTAATTGATAAACTTCATGTGGATTTAAATTTATATTCAATGTTTAATGTTAAATCGTTGTTTCATATTCTATTAATTGGTGTTCAACCACAATATCGTCAACTCAAATTAGCGAATAAACTTATATTAGAATCGATTAAATTAGCACAAAAAATAAATTTTGAAGTAATTTATGCCGAGGCAACTGGTATTTATTCATTAAATGCATTTCTTAAACAAGGTTTCATGAATGTGAAGACAATTGAGTATGAATCGTATGAAAATGAAAGAGGTGAAAAAACATTTTCAGGCATACAAACTCATAAAGGATGTTCAATTGTTGTCAAAGATTTAAGAGAACAGATATAAAAGAAAGGCATGTATTGTTTTAAAATCATTTATAATAAAAAAACAAAAAATATGCTACTATTCTTCTAGAATTTGATTACTTACCCATACATTCTTGAGTATTACACAACTGTCTTTCTATTCCGTGTCCATCACAATTTCTTCCGAGACCCATTGGTGCTGGTTCAGTACATGTTCTAAAGCGTTCTTCGTATCCTATACCACATGATTTACTACATGGTGACCAGGCGGACCATATTGACCATTGTCCATCTACAGGACAAATTTCTAATGCTAAATTACACAGTCTACTTTCGATTATATGACGATTTTTTCCACAAGTTGAACAGTTTCCTTTTCGAATTTGAACAGCTTTGCCACATGTTGATGTACATGGGGACCATTCAGACCATTGTATTTCCACTAAAAAAGTAACAATATTAGACATACACAATGACTCATATTCGATTTTACCTTCAACTTTTAGATCACAACTTGCTGAAATTTGTCCAAGAGGATTTGTGGCTGTACATGTATAAATACCCGTATCTTCTTCGTCTAATGACACAATTCTACAGTTGAATAAAATAATAGAACAATAATTAAAAAATAATATTTTTTTTTGCCTTATGTACCGTAAAGAATTATTTATTAAAATTTCAATTCTATTTGTGTTTCCATCAATTGGAACATTATTTTTACTCCATTTAATATTAGCTTCTGGTATTGCATCAGCAAAACAATTAATTGATAAAGATGAACCAATCATTTTTCTTAATTGAGAAGGCGGTTTAATAGTCAATGTTGGTGGAGCTAATTAAAGAATAAAAATAATCTGAGTTGTTCTAGTTTCAAGAATGTAAAAATACTTTTCACACAGCTTACCTTCAATATTCACAGAATAAAATGATTCTTTACTAATGCCATTCTTACTGTGAAATATACACTTGTAAACGCCAGAATGAACACCCTATATACGTAGAAAGAGTGACTGATGAATGTTTACTTATTAATTGAAACTATATAACATTCCTTGTATCAAACAACAGAGATTTTTTGTATTACTTCGAATTTCAAATATTCCAAGTGTAAGACTGACCTCATCATACAATCATCGATGTTTTTGTCGTTTTTTTTTTTATCTTTCAAATCCATGACTAGTACATCAAATTTGTTACATTGAATAAAACATACTTACAAATATTTTAGTAAAAATTAATGTTCCATTTTGATAATCAATAATTTGTTCATTATTTGTTTCAAGTGGTAATCCATTATGAAACCATTCAACAGTTCCAATAAAATCACCATAAATTTCACATGATAAAATTAAATGTTGTCCTAATTGAACTGTTCGATCATGTGAAGTAGCTGATTGCTTTTCTAATCATAGTAAAGAATATAATCGTTACTTTTATTTGATCAAAAAACAACAACATCAATGTTTACTTACCTCGAATAGTTACAAAAATTGCATTTGAATATATTGTTTGAACAGAATTATTTGCAATACAAATAAAAACGCCTGAATCATTCCAATTAACGTTATTTATGTGTAAAGTACTGCGTACAGGATCTATAAAAGAAAACAAGAAATACAAACTTTCTTGTTTCAAATGTATCTGTCTGAAGTAGCTCTTTTTTATACACTTATAAACAAACTGAAGTTGACATACTTACCATCATTATTCACGAATGTTATTGTATTATTGTGTGTCCAAGATATAGTCGGTTTTGGGATACCATCTGCTTCACATTTTAATTCTAATGATGAGCCATAATCAATTGTAATATCTCGTGAAACATATAGAAATTTAGGTGAAACTAAAATATATAAAAGGAAGTGTATATTTTTCTTATTCTAAGTTTTTTTTTCTTTGAATAACTTTTGGACACCAATTATTCCTCCTAGAAAACGTTTTTCTCTTTTTTTTTCAAGCGGAAATGGATTCTTTCTCGCTCTCCCTCTTTGCCATTATTATTATTATTAACTGCAATTACTTTTTTTTTAAGTGTTAGAATAAACTATTTCTCCACTTTGAACACTCCATATATTCACAATAGAACATGCGAGAAAGAAAAAAAAAAGAAGAAGAGATCAAGTGAAGATTAACTATTAATATCTCGTTAATACTTTTTTCTACAAAGAAAAAAAATTTTTGATGCTTCAAGCAAAGCATAGATCTACCATATTGTAAGATTCTCATTATTTTTTTTTCAATCCAGAGAAAAAATAAAACTCTTATGAATGATCAAATCAAAAATATACGCATGAATACGTAATTGTTATTTTGTCGACTATAGTGTATAAACATATGCATTAGTTGGATCCCACCAGACATTATAGAAACTAAGTTAACTCTTCTGATTTTTTTTTTTTCTACAGTAAATGAATCATTGATGATATAATGTTATTTTTTCTAATTGAAACGACTATACACACACATCCTGTTTATATTTGAAGATGGTTCAATGGATGAGTGACGGATGATGATTCTGTGAAAAAGATTTATCAGTTCAATAATATTAATTAAACTGTGTGCTTGCTGTTCCGAATTAAATGAAAACATGGCATGTATATATTGACTTCTTTTTACTATCTACAATTTCATAATATCTGCCATATTTTAACTTAGCAAAGATCATATGACTAATTACATATATTTTTACAAAAAATAGACTTTTTCTTCAATGTTTATTATCAATACCTAGCACATTGAGCATTATATCTAGACTATCACTTCCAGCCTCATTGGTAGCATTGCACGTATATATACCGTGATCGGATGTCTAGAACAAATTATATTAAAATCTTAGTCAATGTTAGAGAGAATAAAGTGGAGTTGATTCATTACCTGAACATTAGTAATTTCAAGTGTACCACGATTAGGTACTATTGAATATTTACTGCCTGATATACCATGAGAATTTCGTTGCCATGTTATATGAGGCGAGGGAGTGCCTTTGATTATCCAACATTGAAGTTGAACAGTTTCACCTTCACTGGCTACGACTGATGTTGATTTATCACGATCAATCACTGGTGCAACTGGAATATAAATTTTTAGTGTAGCTGTTACGATTAAACTGATATTAAACTTACTATTGATTAATAATGTGAATAATTTTGAAACCTGACCCACAGAGTTCTCAGCAACACACATATAGACACCAGCATAATCAGAGCTAAAAAATGAGCTTAGTAAAAGTATGGATTTGATGAAGTTCAAGAGCCGTAGAACCCCGCTGTATACTAGATAAGTATCATCAGACGACAAGATTATGAACGAAAGTTCCGCTAGAAATGCACAGTTCTCCATCGTCAATCCTGTGATTTCATGGAAAATTTCATCCGATTACACTGAATTTTTTACCCCAGATACACAAGACATATCTTAGTGGTCACATTCTTAAAATGCTGAAAATCATTAAAAACCGAAGAATATCGAAATGAAAAACACTATAAGTCTAAGAAGAAACATGAGCTATTTATTTCTTGCTCAAAAAGTTTTCATTATAGAATATTTTCAAAAAGAAATCCATTAACCTGTAGAATAGCGTCTTGTGTATATGTAGTAAAAAGTCTATCTCAATCGAACGAAATTTTAGTGAGATCATAATACATGGCGTTAGAGCACATTGACAAGAAAACGTATTTCGGTTAAAATGCGTTAGTAGGATTTCACGTGCTGTATCCAAATCAGAATATAAGCGGAAAACATATAATCCGACTAGTCGACGTTAGTGTAGAAACAGATTTTACTATGGAAAAAGCGTGAAAAACTGCATCAGATTCTATTATCCTTGTTGTTATGTGTTTCTTCTGGTCGATCACTTTTTTTAAAATAAATTAAGGCGCGAAAAATACCTTGAATATAAAAATACCTCGATCCGGATATAGACTCTTCCATACATCACATTATAAATGTCTTTTTATAAATGTCGTTTTTCAAAACTCTTAACAAAATAAATTATAATTTTTTCAAAAAAGCGTTTTACAGACTTCAGAAAATTGAGAGGAGAACTTGATGCAACTATTTGAATCTAACGTTTTGATATGTTATAGTTTGAACAATCGTAGAGTCGATAAGCATACTTCAATTTTGGTATTTGTAATGCACCATTTTTCATAATTAATAAGTGTGAATGGTTTGTATGAATTTCATTTCCTTCCCTATACCATTTTATTTCTGGTTTTGGTATTCCAATACTTTGACAAGGCAGAAATATTTCGGAAGATTCTACACCAACAAATGTTCGTTGAATTTGATTTATACTAGGTGGTACTAGAAAAATGAGTGTTTCTTTTATGATTGAAAAGTTATTTTTTTAAATAAAATATTATTTTGTACCTTGAACTTCCAAGCGAATTTGAGCAGATGTTTTACCAACAAAATTTTCTGCTGAACACGTGTAATATCCCGTATTATGTACATGTAGACGATCTATTCTCAATGCACCTGATAGCAATATTTCGTAACCTTGAAGATAAAATATAATTCATATTGAGCATTGAGTGTACGTCTGACTTCTTTCTTAGAGAGAACACTGTATCAACTCAAAGGATGTAAACTCATGAGATCAAGTAGGACGAATGCTTCCGTTGAAACCTATTCTGTTGATCACGGTCTATAATCAAATCTAGCAGTCTAATGTAGTGTGAATCTTCTCTGACACTATTCTCTCTAAAATGTCCAGCGAGACAGAATAACCACTTGATACGCGTGTGTATAAAGTAGATGTTTACAACTGTCAACTGTCTGTAAAAATCTGATTGAAATAAAGATATAATATCTCACCTGGATGATTGTTCAATCGAACGATGCCCTTAGTCCAGTCAATGGTTGGAGTTGGACTTCCCGTTGCTTCACATTCTAAGGTAATTGATTTCTCTATAATTCCTTTTACATCAGTGTGTGGTATTTTAATGTTAGGCGCAGCTAAATAACGAAATAATTACTCTACATATTTTTTTTTCAACTTTTCACAACCTAGTTATTTTAATATATAGGCATGTATAATAAGTGACATATAGTGAAAGAGAGAGGAAGTTGCGGTTGAATGTCTCTTTCAGTTTTAGAATGACAGGCACATGAGAACAAAAGAAAAACGGTCACAATAGGTGCGTGATTATAATTTTTCCGAATGCAACAAAAACTACTTTTGTGATGTTTTAATGAAACTGCGAAGAAACATTCATGACCTCTTATTATAACATTCTAGAGTAAAATATACCTTGGACTTCAAGAACAATATCAAGTATATCTTGTCCACCATTATTCATTGCAATACATTGATAGTGTCCAGCATCTTCTTCTTTTGTATTCACCAATAACAAACTACCAATAGCCGATATAATTAATCTATTTTCTGAACTATGAACAAGTTCTCCATCATTTTTCAACCATCTTTTAAAAGAGAAAAGAGTGTTGAAATTATTCAAATCATGCATTTTTACTAGGATTTATGTACTTTATAGTCGGTTTTGGATTGCCTTGTACTAATTTACATGGTAGTTCAATAGCATTTGGTAGAGAAACTGTAATTGTTGTATTTTCTCGTGCAAGAATTGGGGGAACTAAAAAAAGAAAAAAAAAATAGAATGTTGTCTCGTCGTTCATATTATTTCATATTGTCATCCATCTCTCTTACTCAATACAACAACTTTGAACTGACTACTTGTTTCGCCGGCTTTAGAATATGCAATACATTTATATATGCCTTCGTCACTTTCATTTGCTTGAATAATTAACAACTGAAAACCAGCAGGACCAAATCTAAATTATACATTCTTTATTATCAAAAGAAACTCAAATTACGTTAATTATCAGTATGTCTCAAATTACCGATATTTTATATTCTCAGTATTTAATGGTTTTCCATCTTTTTCCCAAGTGACCGATGGCCATGGATGACCTAAGTAAATTTTTTTTACATTAATAATTATTAAGTCTTAATAAAATGTTTTGTTTTCCTACGTACCATTTGCTGTACACATTAGTGTGATATGATGATTATAAATGCCTTCAACAATGTCTGATTTAGGATTTTGTTCAATTGTTGGTGGTACTAAAAATAAAATAAAAATTAATAACAACATGTTCAAACATATTTTACACTCAATAAAACATTATTCTTACCAAACACTTGTAAATCAAAGTTAATTGAAATTTCTCCAGCAATATTCGTTCCTAAACATGTGTATCGAGCATTATCATTTGATTCAATCCAAAATATAATTAATGTTCGATTATTATCGGCCAATTGATACTTCTTCGTAGCTAGAATAAAGACTGAAAATGAGTTGTGTTTTATTTTACATACAATAATCAAAATGGGAAGGAAAAAGCGAAGCAATTGCAATCAGGTTTATTCGTATTATGTTTAAAAAAGCACTTATCCGAGTATCTATTTTAAAACTGTATCAGAAATGTAGCTCAGCATATATCTATACATATATTTTAGTATTCATGAAACCAGATAGTGTCAAGTTATACATTCACACAACATGCGTGGTTTTCAGCACAATAGACAGACAAGCAATTCGAGCACTGAGCATAAAAATTCCTACACTGATTAACAGTTATTCGAGTTGATGATTTGCGACTTAATAACTTAATTCGATTTTTATTACGTCGATACTTCTGACGTAATCCCGGCTTATTTGCCATATCTAAAAGAGTGTATTGCCGAGTTCATCGAAGATGTATGTATATTATATATACTACTTAGAAATCAAATACAGCAAATATCTTACCATTTCTGTCGAATTCAATGCCATTTTTGAGCCATGCAACATGAGGATTTGGTTCACCCGAAATAGGACATTCAATTCGAGCTGTTTTATTAATGGTTACCTGATAATTTTGAACAATATTCGATCGATCCACAGTTGGTGGTGCTAAATTTGATTTAAACATTAACATACTATACAACACAGTAATTACTATCGTTTTATTGTCTTACTAAATACATCAAGTTTATACGTTAAATTTGTTTGTCCAACAATATTTGATGCTTTACAGGTGTAAATTCCATCATCGGATAGTTGTGCACCCATAATTTCTAATTTTTTTCCATTTTGAGTTACTCTAAAATTAAAAACGAAACGATAGCAAGCTATCGAGGGACATTCTGAAGGGTGTCTCTAGGATGTTGACGAAATATATGTTACTTAGTAGGATCAGATCCGTTGATCTCAAATATAATTTTAATTCTCACCGTTAGGTTGTTGCTGACGAGAGATTCTCACCAACTAACTCTCCTCGACTCGATCGAAACTTGTTATTTCTAGGATTCTTTTTGATGCGGATTACGAATCTGATAATCATCCCGGTTCATAGGCCTTCCTTAGGAGAACCCACATACTTAGCATCGGGACGAATATTTGGTCAAAAATCAAAAGTGTGCCTTTTCTGGATTGAAACAGGAGAAAATACATTTTGAGAAATGAACGAACAATTGTCGTAAGAAGCTTTTTTTCAACTATTATGAAACATGAAAAACGAGGGAACGTTCTTAAGTACCCGTCGCTTTTTCAACGAAACCTAGTGGGTTATAGATTATCGATGATGCCGATTCTGAATACGAATATGAGAGATGAGAGATGCTCTTAGGGCTTCGAAGACCCGGTTTTCTGAAGAACACCCAGAACTTTTCTTAATGCGTCATGCTTGTAGTCCGCACATTTCTGACTAAAATACGACCTCTCCCAACTCTACATGACCTTTCTTTGCAAAGTTATAGAATTTACAAGAAATATCCTAAATTAATTTCTTCTTATTTCTGTAGCTTTAAGTTGACAATGAATATTTAGGACTTTTCTTGTAAATTCTATAACTTTGCAAAGAAAGGTCATGTAGAGTTGGGAGAGGTCTCATTTTAGTCAGAAATGTGCGGGCTACAAGTATGGCTCATTAAGAAAAGTTCTGGGTGCTTTCCAGAAAACCGGGTCTTCGAAGCCCTAAGAGCATCTCACATATTCATATTCGGAATCAGCACCATCGATAATCTATAACTCACTAGGTTTCGTTGAAAAAGTGAGGGGGCACTTAAGAACGTTTCCTCGTTAGCTGAAACTAGCATAGAAGCACAGTGCTATACGATAAAAAGCTTTTCCATTCTATCAAATCAGGTTATAAGTAAAAATGATTTCGATTATGAATCTTGACTCCATCAGAAGCATACCAGTTAATGATTTGTCATTCTGGACAGTTCCAGAGAAACAAAGTTATTTTCAAAGCTAAGTTTCTGTAGATGTGTAACCAGCGGTTGTGAGTTTTCTAAATTTTCTTACACTTCAATTCATTTCAATACGTACCAAAATGTTCGTCTATATACACTTCATCTATGGTAAATGTGGTTTCATTCCTGGATCTTGGTATAAACTCCTATTTTTCAAGATCAATCAGTGGTTTTCAACTCAGGAACGTATTTAATAAGGTGCTATTCTGAATCAGCGCGCAGAACTGCATCGAATGATGTAGTTCTCAAACATTTTCTGAGATGTTTTTTCTCAATCAAAACCTTTCAACCGAAAGAGAGAGGCAGGGATTTTTTTATTAAAAACGTCAAAACCAGAATGAGATTTTTTTCTCATGAGAATCGTATTTTCAAGTATAGAGAATCATTCTACGTCAAAAACGATCATTTCCGATGATAAAAAACTTGGTGTCCGCCTGTCTAGAGAAAAGTGCTCACTGTAGTCCATTGAACCAGATCTCTAAAGGTCCACCGTAAACTTTGCACTAAAAATGTTCTGACGCTATCGAATTGTCAAGCACATTGACTCACTTATGATTCGTCCGTTAGTTCTGAAAACTTTTACTCATAGCTCACTCGATGTGCTTGGCAATCTGGTAACCGCAGAATATTTTTTGCTTCAAGTTTAGGATGAATCTTTAGGGCTTTGGTTGAACGAGTCTTGCTAAGGAAGGCCTATGAATAGAAATGATCATCGGGCCCATAATTGGCATCAAAAAGGATTCCTTTAGGTTGGCTTAACAAGCGCAAAAATTGAAGAAAAAACAGCAATCATCCTGCTGCATCAAGCCCAAGTAAAAAGATTTTTTTGGGATCTAGCTTGAAGCTAGATTTTTAAAACATTTATCTAGCCCTACTCTAGCTCTTACCCGGATGGAGCTAGCTAAATGTGTTAGTTTCAAGCTTGAACCAAAAAAGAACTTTTTTTGCTTGTGAACGTTGACAGCTAAAAGTATTATATTTGTGATCAACACATCTTACCCTGCTAAGTAGCATATAATTTGCGAAAACTATAGAGGTACCTTTCGGGATATTCTCTTGTAAGATACAAATAAAATTTGAATGCCAGTTAATGATAACAAGTTATTTTTGGACTTATCATCATTTTTTATAATGTTACTGTTTCACAAATGACATAAAATCATTTATAAGAGGAAACGAACCTTACATGTTGTCTGTCGGCGCTTTGTGGTTCCATTAGTGATATATTATTGTCTTTAAACCAATAATAGTCAGACTCCGGAATGGAAAATATTGGACAATCAAGTATTATTTGCCGATCAATAATAACATTCGGATTTAGTTCAAGAATTTTTGGAACAATCTCTGGTGATACTAAAATAAGAAATATACAATGAATATACATTTTGATTAAGTCCTAGTTGGTAGTCCTACCAAATACTTGTAAATCATAGTCAAGATAAGACGTTCCAGCTATATTTTCTGCCACACAACGGTAACGACCACGATCAGTAACAGCAGCATTTTGAATAATAAGTCTAGATCCATCATTCACTACTCTATAAGATGAGAAAGTTAATGAGTTACGGAACATGGTCTAATCGATTATGCCTTTATTACCTTGAATTTGCTATTATAGTTTGTCCATCTTTTAAAAATGTTATTTTTGGTGTTGGTATTGCTGTAACAGTGCAATTGAGAACAATAGTTTCATCTTTAAACACGACCACTTCACTTTGAAATTCACTATCGATGATTGATGGTGGCACTAAATTTGAACAAAATTAAAATTGAGTAATAAAGTTGACGAGCACTTTAACAAATTCTTATTGTTCAAGTTCAAATTAACTAGCATAGAATTCAACTATTTTTTACTTAGTACATCGACGTAAAATTCACGAATTGTACTGCCTGCTTCATTTGTTGCTTGACATGTATAGACGCCAGTATGATTCAATTTTGTTTGTAAAATTTGTAAATGACGATTATTTGCCGTCAATAAAAAGTGACTATTATCTACTACAGATTTTCTATAAATAATAGGTAAATATTCTACAATATTTTGAAGAGAATATTGAATAGTATCTTACTTGCGATAGAACCATTTGACATCGGGTTCAGGAACACCATTGGCTCTGCAATCAAGCAGTACATGATTACCAACTACTACCTGAGTTTGAGTTATAACAGACTCTATGGTCGGTGGAACTAAATTTTTGAAGTCAATAAAATCATGTAAGGATCATAATAATTATATTTACTCATAATGCCAACTTTGAAATTTCGTTCGTCAACACCTGCTTCATTTTTAGCTAAACAAGTATAAACACCTCCATCACTAGCTTTTGATATGGATACATCAAGTTGACGACCGTAACGACGAATATGATATTGAACTGACGAACGATTCAAATGTTGACCATCTTTTAACCACATAATCTAAATAGAATAATAATGAAATAACCATATCAAAGAGAAAATAATTTACTTCTGGTTCCGGTTTGCCTGTCGCAAAACAATTAATTGTTAATGTTTTATTAACAGTAATATTAGTCTCATTAAAACCATCAGTATCATCATTATCAATAGAAGGTGGTACTAAAATAGAATATGTCAAACTATTACTTGTAACATACACTTTCGCACTTACCAAGCACTTTTAATTCAAAATTTCTGACCGCCTCGCCTGCTATATTCTTTGCAGTGCATGTATACGCTCCAGAGTCATTCTGTGTAATATTATGTATATCGAGTAACTGACCATCTTGCAATATTTGTATGGCTTTCTAAAAGTCAACATGTAAATATTAGACGATGTGTTGGTTAGAAAATTGGTATCGAACGTTTTTCTCGTTTTTCTTTGGCTGAATATGTGACAAAGACAAGAAACATTTCGTTTTGTAGAGACTTCTTTTCTCTACAATTCTATACTCGAATAAATAAATTAGCATATAAATTCAAAATCTCGAAACAGGTATCGATAATTCCATTGTGTTAGCATACTAGAGTATACAAAAATCAGAAAGAGAAGAAGAGTTTCGACAGTAAAACGCAGATTACATTTGCGCGAGTTCCGCACAAGCGCTTTTTTAAAATGTTATGTTCTAAAATTGTAAAATACAAAATTTTTAAACTTAAAAAATTCTACAAAAAAAAATCTAATGAAAAAATTTAAAAAAGAAAAGTGGATAAAGCTTTGGTAAGGAACTCCGAAATGCGATTCTGAACAACTATTGTAGCCAGCATTTTTCTCCATAATGCTTCCTTCAATCGCAACTAACCATAAGACTTTTTCAAAAATATTTTTAGCTTTAAAATTTGCATCGATAAGGTGAAAGTTAAATTTCTGGCTCAGACATCATTCGAAGAATGGAACTTCTATAAGCAATTTCATCAACTCTTCATATCAAAAACTAATGTTTCTATTCTATTCTATAAATAAAAAAAATAAAAGTATAAAACTAAAGTTTCTATTCTAATTATAAAATCGGGTAAAAATACACGAAAAGAATTCAAGAAAGAAGAATTTTAATGAAAAACTGCATGCCTGGGAACTGAAAAATTTATTGAAACATATACTTTCACGTGTCATCTACAGACTGATGGAAAAAAAAAACAGGTTGTGGAGGATTTCTCCTTAGCATACAAGTCTTGTTTTTTATTTTTCATCTATGTAGTGCTACTGCTTGTTCCTTTAGTGACAAGTCAAGAGCTTGTTTTCACTGTGTATAAGTTAAGAGTGAATAAATTGATACGTTAAACATGAGGAAGAGAAAGATAAGTTACATACACATACCTTTGTTTTCAATAATTTTCCATTTTTAAACCATTGGATTCGTGGACGAGGTATACCATTTGCAATACAAATAAATGTATGTGACTTTGTAATTAATACTTTATTTATTGTATCAATTTGTTGTTGTTCAATTGATGGTGGTGTAAAAACATCGATTAAAAATTGTTTTTCATTTCGACCGGCTATATTTTGTGCTACACAAGAATATGTTCCACCATCATGTTCATTTTCTATTTTTATATTTAAAATATGATTTGTTCCATGAACAAATGTTGCTTTATCATTAATCATTATTGGATAACCATTTTTTTTCCATTCTATTTGTGCTGGTGGAATAGCAAATGTTTCACATATTAATTGAACAGTATTATTAGCCGGTATTTGTAAAAGTTCTTCACCATCTTGATTGAATATTTCAGGTGGTACTAGATAAACATATTTATATATTTATTTAATTTTTTATAAAATAAATTATGTTCAATATATACCTAATACTTGAAGATTGTAGGTTAAAATATCCTGACCAATTTGATTTGTTGCTTTACATTCCCATTTTCCAGAATCATCGAGTTGAACATCTCTGATAATCAATTGTCGATTTTGTATGGTGAATTTATTACTTAATGTAATGTTATTGCCTCCACGTGTCCAAGTTACACTCGGGAGTGGTCTACCAGTCACTGTACAATCCAATATTATCATTGAACCTCTGATAACTGACGGTGTTTGATCAATACGATCGGTGATTATCTTTGGTGGAACTTAAATGCATCAAATTATTTACTATTAATTAAGATTTTAACTGATCCACACTCACTCGATATTATAACTTCAAAGTGTTGTCGTTGTTTTCCAACAGAATTAGTAGCAACACACGTGTATCGTCCACCATCTCTTTCATCAATATTATACATAATTAATGTTTCACTATTATCACGATGTTGATAATTGGATATTTTACTTTCATCTTTATACCTAAAGTTATATGATAACTATTATCTAAATAGTTGTCTCTTTTCTAATAAAATACTCACCAATTTATCGATGGAGTTGGATGTCCCGAAGCAGGACATTTTAACGTTAGTGTACTATTTTGTATTATTTGTATCCTTGTTATCAGTTGATTGGAATGAATTTTTGGAGGTACTTAAGAGATATTATTAATCTGTATTAACAAATTATCCTAACGAATAGTTGGCATAGCATCATTACCTAGGATATCCAATTCAAAGATTTTTGATGCTTGACCAACTTCATTTACTGCTGTACATTCGTATCTTCCAGTGTCATTTTCCTAAAATGATACTGAATAAATTACAAGGATAATTTAGCGAAAAATATATATACTAGTGTCATTGGTATAACCAATTGGTATCCATTTTCTCTGATAAGAAATCTATCATTAGAACTATTGATCAGATTTCCGTCTCTCATCCATGTAATATTCGGTGGTGGAATACCATATGCCGAACATAACATAAGTACTTCTTGATGAAGAATTGCTTCTAATCTCGTATCCGATGACATAGTTTCATTAAATTTTGTGGGCACTTAAACGAAAAACAATGTTTAATATAATAATTGGATACATCTGATTGTTGTTCTGTGTATACCCATGACTTTAACATTATAATGAAGTTTTGCCTGACCCGCTATATTTTCTGCCACACAGATATATTGACCTGATTCAACTGGCTGAATATTTTCAATTTCCAAATATAATCCATCGTGTATGAATCTAACAATAATACCCTATTTCTTTTTACATATCTTGTTTATATTTTATTCTTCCTTACCTAATATTATTATAGGGTACAATTTTAATTGCATTATAATACCAGGTATGTGACGGAATCGGTTTGCCATGTACTGTACATGACAATCGCATATGTTCACCATTAATAAAAGTTTTCTCGACTGAACTTTCAGCAAATTCGGGTGGAGCTAAAATATTTTTAATACATAAAATATCATCGATGATATATTCTGTAAATAATAGCATACTGAACACTTCAATATCAAATGCCATATCGGTCGATCCCACAGCATTTGTTGCTTGACACACAAATCGACCTTCATCTTTTAACTGTGAAAAACAAAAAATTGAATTATAAGAGTGTGTAAAACTTGATTTCGTACTTCAATGTTTGTTATTTTCAACGTTTTTCCTTCGTTTGTTATAACTAATGCTTCGCTAGGTGAAAGTTGTTCACCAGCTTTGTACCACACAATTTCTGGTGTTGGTACGCCGACTGCTGGACAATTTAAGAATAATGAATGATTTAGTATAACAGATTTTTTTTGCAATCTATCACCGGACGTTGAGGGTGGCACTTAAAAAAAACAATTATCTATGATAGTTTCTACTATATTAATGACATATACTTACTATTGACTGTAACAACGAATATTTTTTCACTTTTACCAGCTTTATTCGTAGCTGTACATCGAAATGTTCCATGATCAGTCGTTTGAACATTACGAACGGTTAATTGAGTATGATCGTCATTGAAGAATGTGCGGTGATCTTGCCAAATTTGTATATCTTCTTTATGCCATGTTAGTACAGGACGCGGTAAACCATTGGTAGGACAAGATAATATTAAGTCTTGGCCAACAGTAGTCTTGATTGCTGTGCCACTTTCATCAGTCATAATAACTGGTGGAACTAAAAATAGAGTCCCTCTGTAAGTGGTATCTGCGACAGAGAAGTGATCTTTTGTAACTGACTATTGATATTAAGCATAACCGTATGCGTTGTATTTCCTGCAGCATTGCTAGCCTTGCACGTGTATTGGTCATTATCTGTTGGATCTACTTTTTTTATTTCTAAAGTTCCATCAGCATGTACATGTGTATTCATATTTCTATAATCTACAAAGATAGAGATCGATCTTACGTTATCAAACTGTTTTTTTCTTTTTTTTTGTAATATATATCCTACATGAGATGGGTGCTGTATTTCTAAACCAATTTATGACGGGAACTGGATGACCGGTTATTGTACAAGGTAAAAGTACTGTTTGATATGCATTCGCCTCTATCTCCAATGGTGGATTTCCACTAAGTGCTGGTGGTTCTAGAAAGAGAGACAAAGTTGCCAGTGTGTATAAAATGGATATCAATCTTTTTTAATATACCCCATATATCAACTTCAAATTCTTGTCTTGCTTCGCCATAGGCATTCGTTAAATAACACATATAAAAACCTTTATCCGTAGATAATACCGAATGTATAACTAAAGCCCCACTTGGTAATGTTTGAATTCGTTCATTTGAAATGAAAAGTGGCTAAAATTGTATTTACAAATAGTTAAAACTGTTTTCGTTATATTTTTCACATATACTTTTCCATTTTTGTACCATGTAACAAGAGGTCGAGGAATACCAACATGATCACAAAGAATAGTCAATGTCTGAGATACAATACTATGTAAATTTGTTTGTGATGCAAGGTTAATTCTTGGTGGCACTAAATGTTTATATTCAAAATATTACATAGTAATAGAGAGAGAAAGAGAGTTATTAATGATGTTACTTGTGACAATCATTTCTATATTTCGACTAGCATTTCCGACCGAATTAATGGCATAACATGTGTAAATACCGACATCATGTTCCTGAACGTTTGAAATTAATAATGTTCCATCATTATTCAAGATATATTTTCTCCCATTAATGATTGGTCTATTGTTATGGTACCATCTATAATTGAGTTGTAAACTAGATCAATTTTTTCAACTCTTTTTGAATATCTTACTCAATAATTGGAGTTGGATAACCTCGTGCATTACACAACAGTCGTGCTTCTTCTCCCATATTTACTTGCAATGAACTATCTGCTGCATCCAAAATAATAGGATCGACTAAAACAAACAGTAAACAGGTACACAACAAAGAAAATTTTTAATTTCCGTCATACCGAGTAAAACCAAATGAATTATATGAGTGGCGTTACCCAACAAATTAGTTACTCTACACATATAAATAGCAGCATCCTCATTTTGAACATCTTCAATTTCTAAACTGCCATCTCTGAGAACACAAAATTACCGTCATGATTATGATATCAATTTATACAATTACTCACATATTATGTGTCAATCGTTGATCATCATACAACAACTCAACACCATCTTTATACCAGTCAATAGCTGGTTTGGGCTTTACGTTTTTCCGTACTGGGCAAGGAAGTAGTGCTGTACTTCCAGTTGTTATTTGTAGTTCTACAGTGGCATTCTCTTTTCTACTATCATCAATTAACGTTGGTGGTGCTATAATATAATCATCATCACTATCTTAGATAAGGCAAAATAGTCACTATTATTACTCAATACATCGACTTGAACTGTATGTGTAGCATTTCCAGCTGAATTCTCAGCTATACACGTATAAATACCATCATTAGCCAAAGATACTCGTCGAATATGTAAACTTCCGCTACCAGTAATCTAAGAAAAATTATTCGTATTACTTCAACAGTTGTAAGCAAAAGATTTTTTTGTAAAAATAGTTTACGTGATGATTAGAAGATTGAAACAACTGATAACCATTGTGGAACCAGGTTATAGTCGGTTGTGGATGACCGTGCACTTGACATGTTAGATAAATCTCGTCGTTCAACAATACTTCGTACATCGATCTATTTTCGGCGATACGTGGTGGTACTAAAAAACAATAACTAATTTTGATGAAATATTTAAATCTAGTTGTGTTCCACATACGTATTCCTGTAATTGATAATTGAAATGACGTCTCATTTATACCAAATACATTATCTGCTCGACACACATATTGACCAGCATCTCTTGGCTGTACGTTAAATATAATTAATGTGTTATCTGTCTGATAAATTCTATGAGTATTTTGTACTGAATTATTGTCATATATCCAAGATATTTTTGGTACAGGATATCCAGTAACATTGCACATCATTGTTACATTATGATTATATTCAGCATTTATTCGAGTAGATGATGCACTTATTTTTGGAATATCTTCAATAGTAAGTAATCATAGTGGCTCAATAATGGCCCGATAAATAGCTGAGTTATATAATTACCTCCAACTTCTAGACGAATTGTTGCTAAAGTACTTCCTGCATCATTTTGTGCCACACAATTGTAATTATCCGTATCACTGGAAGCCACATTCGAAATAAACAAATTACCTTCCGCTACTCTACGATAATGGTTCCCTGATGTGATCTAAAACACACATATTTCAAGTATTCTTGATTTTTCAGAAAACTTTCTCTCACATACTTCTTTATCTCCTTTATACCATCGAACTTCTGGCGGAGGACTACCGTTCACAATACACTTTAATGTGGCTCTGTCTCCTACTTTCACTAGAAGATACGCTTTTTCGGCATAAATAGTTGGTACTTCTACAACAACAAAAAAAGTATTATTCAATTGAGTAAACTGGTCTATTTTTCGCCTTAGTTAACCTGCATATAGTAATTGAGCAGTTTGTACCGCTTGGCCTAGAGTATTCGTTCCAACACACTCATAATAGCCTTAAATAGAAGTAGTATGTTTTAGAAAAAAATGATAATACTTTCAAATTGTATAAACCTTCATCGTGTTGTGTTGCTCTTAAAATAGTTAATAGTCCATCAACTACTTGAATACGTGATGACAATTGTAAAGGGTAACCATCTCGTTTCCATTGTAATTTAGGTGGAGGATATCCTGTACCAGCACATGTCAAATTAATTATCCAGTTTTGTGCGTATGTCTGAATATGTGGATAAACATAAATATTTGGTGATTCTAAAAGTAGAAATTGACCATAACTTGATTCAAAATTGATTATTTTTTTTTTCAAATATTACCTTGTACGTTGAGAGATACTGCAGCTCGTGTTTTACCACCTTCATTTGTTGCTTCACATACATATGTTCCATCGTCTGATTTTTGTATTTGCCTACATATTTTAAATACTATGTGTTTTTAAGAAAAAGTATAGAATAATACATCCATATTACCTCAATTCTAGTGTACCATTATTGTGTTTTGTTACTCGTTGTTCATCAATTAAAGAATTTTCTATGATCCATGTCGAATTGTATGGTGTTATACTTGAAACATTACAATCAACAAAAATAGTTGAACCTAATATTGCCGGAAGATTATTAGGCAAATATACGAATGGTGGTGGATCTAAACAGTATCAAAAAGTGCAATTAGATTAAGAAGAATAAAATAAAGAAACACTTGCTTCTTAATCAATATGTTTACCAAGCACGTTCACTCTTGTTTCGGCAATGTTGCTCCCAGCTGAACTGGAAGCATTGCAAACATAGACACCTTTGTCAGCGGATGTTGGATGACCAATTGGTAACGAAATGGAAGATGATTGTCTAATAAAAATAATAAATATTTTTAATAAAAAATAATTACAAATAATTGAATATTGTTCTTACAAGTATTCTGTTGCAGACGAAAATTGAGTTCCATTTCTGAACCATTGAATAGAATAGGGGATAATACTTTCAACATTACATAGTAATTGACCGGATTGATTATAGAGAAACTCAACATGTTTCTCCATCTGTACTTTGGGTATATCTGGAGAGAAAGCGACAATAGCCGTCTGACTTGTACGCTGAAATTTGTAACCTTTTTTATCATAACCATAGATCTAAACAGATTACAATAAATAGACTACTTTTCATGTTCGATATATGTAAGCTTACTCTAACGTAAAAAAATCCGTCCGATAGAACAAGTTTGCTTGTATTGTATAAGTTTTTTGTTTCTTGTTCAATTGGCAATAATGGAACACTGGTAATAACTTTTCCAAATAGATCAATAAATTCAGCACGTTCAAGAAATCCGGGCTTTTCTAATTTTGTTGGTTGAACAGTCAAATGTGTTTGTAAACCTTTAGTAATAAGAAGTAACATGTATAACTATTATGTTAATAAAACAGATTTGATACCTTTTAATGGCTGTCGTGTTGTCAACGATAGATCTGATACGGGTTCTCTTGAAAATCCATGAGAAAATGTTAGACTACTAAGTCCGGTAATGCGAATTGAATGTGCCGATGAACTGGTCACCTGTATTTTCCATTCACCAGCCTATAAAAGAGATTTATTTGACAATATCAAAATAAAAATACTATTAGACTCAATTTTACCAATGGATGTTTGACATTCAAAATATAAACTTCTTTTAATCGTAAGAGACGTGTTAACCATGTCCGTTGATTTATTATAGTGTCTATTAAAATAATTAGATGAATATATACTATTCTTTTTTTTTTAAGGTCAACTTGACTAACTTACTAGTAGGATCAGTAAGCACAACTTGAGGATTAGATCCGCTGACAGAAATAGTAAATTCAAGAAGTTGACTATCCACAGGTATTGTGTAAATAAATTTATCTCGTGATTGTTTATCCAATGCTAGTATATTTACTTTTCGTGCTTGAATTGTATGTTGAACAAAATTTAATATCTATTCAAATCAGATATTGTGTGTTATGTACACTGTATAATTAAAATATAGAATCAATTACCTCGCTAACTTGTTGTTTTTTTAATGTAAAAACTTGTCCTGAACTTGTTGCAGCCACTTTATGAAATACTTGATAACCTTGATGTGATTGATTTCCACAATCACCAGTCATTACAAATACAATCTAGTCATATATATTACAATGAATTTCTTGAGTTGAAATAATAAGAAATAGTTTAT